CTCCCAAATAATAATTTATGGAAATTTTTGAATACAATGACAATTATTTCATTAATATCTTGAGTGGAAAAATTTGCTTGGAAATTAAAATATACAAATTCGGTTTTGAACAAATTCTTTTTTTGAAGCCAAAATAAAATTTTCTTCATTAAATTTTGTCATCGATCTTCCATTTACTTAAAGTGCAGTACCTATAACAATCACAAATATTTAGCTGTAAAAAAATATTAAATTGATATTTTTCCATTCTGATGTTTAGAAGAGAATACTAAAAAAATATTTTTGATATATTATTGCTTAATATTAAAAGCAAATTTTACTTAGTACAAATCTTTTAGTGCTACCCATTTTGTAACAGTAATTAGATTTAAACGTTTAATTAAAAATAAAAAATATTTAATCATTATTTCTATTGCTAATGTCACTAAGTAATATTTATGTAGCGTTAAAAAGAAAGCAAAAAAAATTGTTTTAACAAAAAATTGTGGAAGTTAGCAATAGTTCTTATATGAATGAATTTCCCAAACAAACAATTTATTATTGCGTTTGAAAAGGAATCTGACAGTACAACTATTAGTAAAACTTTACATTTTTTTTCCGCAAAATTTTAATTCTTGTAAAATTTGCAGTTTTCTTTTCAAATTATTAAATGGTTTTTAAATAATTTTACCCTTGCAATAGTTTGTTTTCATTAGTTAGAAGTTTTTTAAACAACGAAATTTGATAAGCATTTTTTTATTCTACTTCTTTTCAACAATTTTTTTCCATTTTTTTACAATTCACATTTCCTTTTTTTTATCGCAACAACAAATTTTCTTTCCTTTTTTCCCGCATTTCTATCTCCTTTTCCTTAGTCTAACAAAAAAAAATTTGCTAATCTATTTTTGACAACTCATTAGCATATTGATTTAATTGTTCAAACAAATTTGAACAATTAAATCAATATACACATGAATGACTGTAATGTTTCTAATCTTTTCATTTGAAATATTTTGAGCAGTAACTCTCTGTAAATGATTCCTTAATGGAAAATGTAAAATTAAAATTTTTAACTAAAATTTCAGTTTTTAAACTTTTAATTAAAAATACACGATTCCCTTTATTTTAATTTAAGTTGAAAACTTTATTTCAAATATTCAATTCAATTTGTGATAAACACACATTTATAGTAAACTTTTGAGACTGTAGCTTTCTTCAGCAGTTTTTTCTCAGGAAAAAAAATTTTTAAAAATAAAATACGCACAATTGATTAAGTCGCTAACTCCAGAAAAAAAATTTGCAAAAATTTGAAAGTTATTTTGAATTATAACTAGTTGGATAATTATAAGAAGGAAAAAAGGAAAGCAAAAACAGTTCCTTTTCAATTTTTTCTACCTGCGTCTCTCTCTCTCTCTCTCTCCCTTTCTCATTCTTTCACAAAAATTTGATTCTATCGAAAAATCATTGCCTTTGTCAAATGAAAGGAAAACAACTCGAGGAGTTCTAATCTTGAAGGTAAAAAAGAAAAACAAGAAAAATTAATCAATTCTCACTTAGCATCAGTGATTCATTCTCTTTTTTTAAATACAAAAATTGATTCACAAATGAAAATTGAAGAAAATGTAGAAAGGTTGTGATATCGGAAAAAATGAAAAAAAACTTTAGCCAAAATTGGTGGCAATAATAATTATCAAATCCTATTATTCTGTTGGTGTGAATTGAATAATATGTTAATCCAAAAATTTAATTTAACCAAAATTTTTCCATATATTAAATTTGAACAAGTACATTTCAGGTAAATTTTTTTCATAAAGTTCATAAATATTGTCAGTTAAAATAAATGATTTCATATTATACAATATATATTAAATCTCTATTAAAAATAATTACAAATGCAAGTATCGAATATTGAATGAAAATATAAGAGAGTGCAAAAAAAGTGTAACCTTCAGGAAACTTTAAAAGATAATTTTTAGTTAAAATTGATATGAAAATTAGGATGAAATAGAAAAAAAAATGAAATTGATATTTTATTGAACGTATTGTTCCGTATTTTATTTTTAAAGAAAAAATATTTTAAAAATAAAATACGCACAGTTGATTAAGCTGTTAACTCCAGAAAAAAAAATTGCAAAAATTTGAAATTATTATGGATTATAACTAATTGGATAATTATAAGAAGGAAAAAAGGGAAGTAAAGACAGTTCCTTTTCAATTTTTTTTTGCCTTCTTCTCTCTTCCTCTTTCTCGTTCTTCCATCAAAAAAAGTTAAACGCAATGATTTAATTTATTGATTGATCAAACGATTTTATTAATCTCGGTATTTCGCTTATTTTAATTTATTCTATAGTAGTCATCATTGACTATCATAAAGTTGAATTATCATTTTGAAATGAACTGATTGAGAAAGAATATGAGGGAATTCCATTTATAACCGTTGTGCTATTAGAAGTTATGCTTATGTTAGTAAAATCGAAAAATATCTATCATTAAATATTCATATAAAGTAATATTCTTTGGCGAAAAATTGGAAATCAAATATTGATAATCACTGGATGTAATTATTACGATATCGATTGATTTTCTTTTTATCAAACAAAAAAACTTGATCAATCATTTTAATTTGCATATTGCTAACTGTAATGGCAATTTATGAGTGATCAGTGCTTTAAAGAAAATTTCATGTAACTTCCTTTCACACATAAATTTAAAATTTTATGCGCGAAAGAAAGTTACTTGAAATTATGGCTTCAGTAAATTGCAGATCATATAAATTACATTCATCGAATGAAGGAACAGTGAAATATATTCAAAATAAGTAATTAAAATAAATTTAATAAGTTGTTAATTAGTTTGTGAAATTAGTGGCAACTCAAAATGATCAGATTTTATGCGAATTTCAATCTGAAATTCATTTAAACAATAAAATATTTTGCGTAGTTTGAATAAATTAAATTTGAATAAAATTGAATTATAGGCGATTAAACTATCATTGTTAGTATGTATTATAAAAATTATAATTTCCTTCTACAAATTACATTGTTCAATCATATAATAAATTGTTTTTTTCTTTCAATAAATATTGAATTTAAGCTTTGCTATAATTGCTTTTGAAACATTTTATTAAGTTTTATTTGAATACTGTATAGTGAATTAGAATTAAATAAACGTCAATAAACGTTCGAGATAATCGAAGGTACAAAATTAAGTATGGTGCTTAAGAAGTGCTTGCTTATTTCATAAATTTTGATTATAATCACAAAAATAAACATCATTAAAAAAGTAAAAGAAACCCAAAAATAAGCATCATAAAGTCTGCTAACATGAGATTGCCTTCATAAATTTCAAAATAGCAAAGAAAAAGTTTCGCAGCATATAAAGAACGCTAATGAAATGTTATTTATTCAAATAACAAATTCATCACGCTTCAATGATTTTCATTCAAATTGCAATTAAATGTTACAGTTATCATAATGACGTGCTATTTTTTATTTCTTTAAAAGTCTTGTCTTTTTAATTAACAGTCACATTTAAAATTCTCTTCGATTCATCTTCATCAGCAAATGTGATATCATCATTGGTTGGCGTAAAAGGTATATTAATATTATATGATGAGGTAACATTTTCCGCCTCTTTATCTCCACTTGTTTTCATCATACCAAATATTAAAGCCAAACGAATAAATGATTCGATTTGCATTAAACCAGTATTGAAACTGCGACGTACGTTCATTGCACGTGCCATCTGAAATGCCGTAAATTAATATTTCACCAAATTGAATAGACAGTAAATTTATAGATTTTCTCATAGTTAAAATTCAAATTTTGAAAAATAAAATTATCTATTGAAGCGTAGTGATGTTTTTTTCATTTATATCAACTTTGATAAAGATCTCTTGAAATGATAAATTTTACTTCAAATTTCAACACGGATTAGTCTATCGTAATATTCCTATTCAGATATTGTATTTTATTTCTTATATCAAACTTCATGCATTCCATGTATATCAAATTTCATACGTATTTCTTATATCAAACTTTAAATTTACCTATTACAAAATGAAAAATCTTTCGTTCAAATAAGTAAAAACTAAAATAAAACCTTATAAACTTTTCGGGTGATTTTCCGTGCTTTACCAACATGACGACCCATATAATGAATATGATCAATTGCTTCAGCAGCTAATACTTCTACCGTTATTGTTACCAATATTACACCAATTATAATGTATAAAATGAGATATGGTACAGGAATGGGAGGCTAAATAAAATTTTATTTAAAAAAATTCTTTTCAATCTCAAGTTTATTATTTTTTAAATAAAAACTAATAGCAGCAGTTCAATTATAATTTTTTATAATAATTCACTAAAATTATGATGATTAACAAGAAGCTAAGAAATATATCTGTAGTGAATTTAAACAATAACAGTTAATTTAAAAAAAAAAAAAACATTGCTCATTAAGATTGTCATTATAAAATTTGCATAAGTAAAAATTCTTCTTAGCCTTAAATTTATCAACTTAATCAAAGTATCCCAATTTCAAATTCTTTCTTTTTTTGCTGCAGGAAGTTGACAATCGAAGAATGGCAGTCTTTTGCATTTATTATATCTGGTATCCATGAAGGAAGTAAGAAAATCAGTGAAGTGAAAATTGTCAAACAATGTTAAAAACTTTGTCATAACCTTTGTCAACATTTAGGATAACAAAAAAAAAAAATCTAAGGTTGGGCCAAATTTTACTGAACAAAAATGAATAGTTGCCGACGGAATAAAAAAATCTAACAATCTTTTTTCATAAAGGATTATAAAAAATTGCACGTAAATCATTTGTCAAGATATATCTTATCAAAAATTTTAAAAAAAATTGAAGTTTAGAATTCAGTTTAATACAGATATTAATTGTGCTATTACGATAGAATATTTAAATGTATAATAATTGAGCGCTTTATTTGTTATGCAATTTCTCAGACTCGTAACTTAGAAAATTTTGAAAAAAATAATGGATAACTGAGAAGAATTGTTGCAGATAAATTTAGCGAAGAGGAAAAAAAAGAAAAGAAATATTTAAAATTATTTCACAATCGTAAAAAAAGACTGACTCGATATTTTAAATGGAAAGAGTATTAAAAATTAGGGAAGCTTGCATTACTTTCTCTTAAAATAGTATAATTCTGATCTTCCAACATACTTAATAGAAAAATATCATATCAACAGATTTCTTGAATAGGATCGAGAACTTTTGTTCATAAACGAGTTAATTATCAATTCAATCTTTTTTTTTTCTTTCAAATTAATCTTTTTTAGGAATTTTAATATAGAATTTGAAAATACAAAATATCAATCATTATTAACTGGTTTGGATTTTAAGAAGTATAAAAATGATTTTAAAAAAAAAGAAAACATACGTGAGTATCACCGTAACCGATCGTAAAAACGGATGTGATGGAAAAGTATGCCGCTTCAAGGTAAGTAATTCGGGCAAATAATGAGAATAATATAGCTCCGATAAATACATAGGCTATTAAAAATCCAAGGAAACACAAACCTGTTACTGACTGCAATTTGTTTATTTTTATGGTTTTGAAAGCAATATTGACCACTGACCATTTGTTGATTATTGGTTATTTGGATGAATATTAATTTTTTTCGACTTTTGTAAATTTAAAGGTAATATTGATCATTGACCGTTTGTTGACCATTGTCATTTGGTTATTTGGATAAATGCTAATTTTTTTCATAATAAATGATAAAGATATAGACTGATCATGCTGCAATTAATTTTGCTCCATTCCTGATAAGTTATCAGAGCGATTTTTTTGCATATATTTTTTTAAATTGATTAAACACGATACTTTGAAATGATTAATATAATAAATGATACTTCGGGAAGAAAGCGCATAAAATAAAAGCTAAAAAATTTTCCAATATCGGTTATTGTAACAAGTACCATTGGTGCACCAATAAGAGCATAAATTATAACAATAAATCGTCCAAGCTTAGTAATTGGTGTAACAAAACCGTAACCTAAAATTTGATATTAAATTTGAAACGAAATGTTTGTAAATTTTAAATGATTATCTATTTTTGTTAGTTATTGATAAATGTGATTATGGCATTATTGGTTAAAATTAATTTTTAAATTTTTACTAGTCTGAATTTAAACGATGATTATTTTATTATTAAAAGCTAATGATTTTTTTTTTTAGTACTTGAAATTTGTAATCGTCTACAATTGAAAAAATATTTTTCATACCAACAGGAATGACCGTTGTGGCAGCAAAAAGTATCGATGAAGCTATGTTCCATTGATCTTCCTTCATTCCATTATTTAAATAATAACCCTCAAATATTCGAGCTGCCTAAAAATGACATCAACTTTATTAATATATGAAATTTTTAATTGTTAATTCTATTGATTATTTATACAAGTCACAAAATTTGCAAATTTTTTGTAGTTTGCAGCTTTTTTACTTAAAAATTTAATAAAATTATATGATGCTTGAAAACCTTTTGCATCAATTTTATTTTACTTTTGTTTCAATTCACTGTAGCTGAGCTTTTATTACTTTTACTATTACAAAAAAAATCAGATATTTACATTAATTAGAATGTTTGCAATAATTTCTCATAATGTTTTTTCCAGAATTTCCGGACTTTTACTTCTTTTTTTCCGGAGTTTCCGGAGTTCGTAGTAATTTCTGGACTTTTAAATCTCCAAGAATTGTTATCTAATCAGAAATGCATTACCGAATTGCATGATTAGAAAAAAGGAAATCGCAAGTCCGATTATTTTTAATCGACAATTCATGTATTAATTTTTAATATCTCATACCTAATTCGTTTAATAACTTCCTTTTTTAAATTTTAAATATACGTGCCTGAGAATCTTTGTAGAAATCAAACAATTCTTCAATGTAGCTATCACTTAGAATATATAAATCACTTTCGGTCAAATTATCCGCTGCCACTGCTTGTAGAAATTTCTGTAATCATAATTTTTTTATAATCTTTAATGCATTTTCAATTCATAGTAAAAAAAATATTGAATTTTCAAAAAATTATGATATTTGAAATAACTTTAAAATGACATTTGCCCATTCCGTCTTTGAAAAGATTTTGGCAATTTGAAGTAAAGATTATTGATTATAAATCAAGCGAGAATTTCTCTTTTTTTTGCAATTTTTTTTTTTAATTTACACACAAATTTGATTTTTTCATAAGTGGCAAGGTGATATTGGCGTGATATAATTTCGATAGGTCGTTCAAGGTACAGGAACAAGGCCGCACCAATGCAAACATAAGTTATTGTACCACCAATGATTCCAATATGTGCAGCTATAGCACGAAGCTGAAAAATTGCCAATTTATAATTATCATGAAGAAAAATTTGCTGAAAATTTAGGCTTCGGAACTTGAAAAAAAAACTCAAATATCTCACATGCCTGATTTGTTTGTTTATGATTTACATGTAAATGTCACATACCATTTGTGAATGAGTTCTCATCGATCATAAATTAACCTTTTTGCAGCGAATAATTTATTTCATAAATTGTATACATTTTGACTAAAAACAACTGCGAAATTGAAAAATTATTTTAGATGACTGTATTTTACATTTTACAGGAGAAATTTAAATTATTTAAATCTTATAAGAAAGCAATCAATGATAATTAGTGACTTTATATATGAGCAGATAAGCATCTGACAAAAATATTGCAGCATTGATAAGTTTTAAATTTTGACTGATAATCAAACCGGAAAACTATGTGGCTTTTAATTTATATGAACTGATGGAGATTGAAAGTTTTATACAATTTCGGTTTTGCCAGTGTGCTCAATATTTTATCGGGTATTGTTTAACTATGAAATTAGACCATCACAAGAGATTTTAGAAAATCTTAAACAATTAGTAAGCTATGTTAATTATATTTTTCCTTCGATTTCTATCTTAACAGAAATTTACATAAACAAAAATTTTAATGGCAAATAATCTGACGATATTTTTCGAAACAAAATTCATTATGAGCAATTGTTTGCATTTCCTGATGTAAACGAATATTATTTAGATTTAAGCAAAAATAAATTACTATTAATATTAGAGAGTGAAAGGAAGTGAAAGAATAAACGTGATAATATTGTCCTAAGGCCTCATAAAACTGCATGAATGAGATTGGAAGGTGCCCATTCTTCGAAACACTAATACAATGATTTTGGGCGTTCCTATGCTTCTTATACGTATGCTGAAAAAAGCCAAAAGAAAATTGAACAGACCAATTGTCTTTCTCTCTGCTGCAATTACGTTCATATTTTAATAAAAAAAGTAATTTGTAGAAAAAAATATGCAAGCATTTCACTTTAATTAGACAAAATAAAACTAAACTGTGCATTTGAAGCAGATTTCTGTTCATTTGGCTAATTTTTACTGCATAGATTGCTCTCGATTAGTGGTTGGGTTAAAGTTTTGACCGGAAAATCGACTTTTAACCAATGTGTTATTAATGCCTTAAGAAGATTTTTGATATTTTGACTAACTGACCCATATAAATATCACCGACGTGATTCGTTAATGACATATGCAAAGACAGACAAATTTTTTTTAGAAAAGTATTCATACAATATTTATATAAACTGTTTTGTTTAATTCATTCGAGTGATTAGCAGCTGATACTATCAAAGAATGAATATTCCTAAGAAGTCAGATTAATTACAATGACTACTTTGATAAATCATTGGAAGTGAATTTTGTTTCACAAATATTATTTTCGATTATTTATTAATTGAATAAAACAGAACGACTTTTTTTCTTTCTAAAAGAATCGTTGGTCGATTGTTTTTTTTTTTGTTATTTTATTTAGATATGGTTTTTTTTTTTT